AACATGCTGATGTTCAGCCAGGAAGACGGAATTTTCAGAAGACGACGGCTTACAGATCGCTTTTTCCTCTTCCGTCTTTTCCTCTGTAAAGAAGCATGTAATAATAGATAACAAAGTTAACTTCTTGTACAGTCACAGAAGTTTACCACAAATAACAGTACCCTGACAACAATTTACGCGTATGTATAGCACATATGTCATCACTGTACTGTTTTGACGAGGAAGAGCAATTCCAAATTCCTTATGCAAGAAATGATCGTTTTGTGAATCGGCCTCCATTGTTGTTTAATCACTTAAGACAACCTTAACCACTGCAAAATTTGAAAATTGTAGCAATCGGGCGCCTGTTGGCTTCTCTGGCAGCTGTGGCGTCTAAGCATAGCTTCAGTAGTAGCGCATGTGGCATCTGTGCTATCGGCTAACTTTCATGGCGTCGTACTTCGCCGATCGTAGTTCTCTGTCAAACAAACGAATATATTCGAATATACTGTATAAACGGATCGTGACGACAATTACAACGGATGCTAGTAACAATACGATGACCTTCGTCAAGATGATTCTCGACGACTTGACCGATCAACTGCTTGACGATCTGGTTAGCTGAAATCGAATGTGACGGCGACATGCCACGAGTTTCACTTTGTATGAAGAGAAAAAAGTGGACTCTCGGCTATGTCTCGACCAGCCCATCCCTACCCTCACAAAATTCCGTCGAACTTGCCAGGAATGATCTTACTGAACATGTCTTCTTTCACGCTCGTCGTATCGTCTGTTTCTTTGTGCTTCACCTTCTGCATACATGTCAAAAGGTCGATGGTTGCTACTACCGCAGGGCACACTATCCAAAACCCTTCGTAAAACATGTTTTGATCATTGGTCCATAATTGTTCTTTAGAACATTTTTTTGATACGTGGTTAGGTCATTCAAACATAAAACTGCGATTATAAACTTATACGAAACATGACAAGTTTTGTTAGCGACACAGGTAAAAACACCGGAACTGAATTAAAGAAAGGTCAAAAAATTGTAAATCAAAGTTGTGCGAGAGGGGCAGTGACAAAAGTTAATAAGTGGTAAAAGTTTAGTGGAAGGGACGTGAACCTCGAACCACAAAGCGCGGTTAAACAAACGCATTAACGAATACATCCCAATTTTCACTGAAGTAAAAGCGACGAGGTGCATTCTTCACAACTATTATTTATCTAAAAAATGTACTCCTTGATTA